TCCTCCATCGCTGCCTGTGACTGACAGTCTGGTTTCTGGGCAGGACAAACTCTGGTGCAATGAACACCCCAGAGCTACTTGTGACATCAGGCTGAAGCTAGCCTTCACCTGAAACCACATCCTTGCCCAGGTCCTTCATGCCGTTACAGATTTCTTCTGACAGCATCCGTCAACAGAATATTTGTACATGAATCCCCTTTGCAGGCTCTGATCCTAGAAAATCTGCTGTCAGACATGACACTAAACTGATATTTCAAAAGCATAGTTCTGATCATGCCACGCCTTGTACAGAAGTCATCAAATAATCTTTATTGCTTCTCGAATAAGGTACAGGCGTCATAAACATGATCTGGCCTCCATCTTCTTTTGCAGCCTTAGCTTATTCTGTTCCCTACATGTAGGCAACGCTGTGGTCAAAAGAAATGGCCTGCCATTCTCTAGGCCTACCCTTTGCTTTCTGCCTCTTCCTATCTATTGTTACCCCACCTGGGGTACCCTGCCCCCTCCCTGCAATGGTTACTACCCTCCAGATCCTTTAGGGACTACTTTGTGTAGCCCCTCTTTCCAGAAGCCTTCAGAGATTTCTCCAGCCACATGTGAACTTACACTCAGCTTAGTGAGCACCGCAGAGCTTCGGGCGGGCCTCCCCTGTGAAACTGACCAGTCTCCAGCTTATTAAATAATCAGACACATATCTGGCTTCCATCTACTACCTGATTCTAAATGCCTTCAGAACAGAGACTTAAATGTTCCTCTTTGTTTTTTCCTGCTGCATTTAATACTGTTGTGAACATGCTATACTCAAACAGTTTTGAACAGTCAATAAAGTAATAGGTGTAGAACTTTTAACAGGGAAACATTTTATGACTTTGAATAAATCATAAGTGAGAAGTTAAGGGGAAAAAATGCTTCCCACTTTTGGAGAAAAAAGAGACAGAATTTGAATTCCAGTGTCTATTTTGTTATGGATACGTACTTGGAGATTCAGCTTGAAGTTCAGATGTTAAAAAAATAAATCTTTTATTTTTTTAAGCCCTGAGACCACTGATTGCTCCCTGGGAAGTTATTTTCAATGTGGAAGGAAGGCCCAGGATAAATGCCAAACAGAATACAGGAGAAATGGTGAACAGTGTCCTTGCTGCTCTAAGGTTAAAGCTCCAGAAAGATATTTTCAGCTTACAGTCACTTTGGATCTGAGATTTGAACAGCCAATCCACAGCACAAGGACATTCAGTATGTCCAAAATGGCCTGAGATTCAAATGTGCTTTAGAGAACGTAAAGCTCTCTTGTCTTGTTCATTTCTCCCTGGAACTCCTCCATCTGCGGCTTTTAATTAGTGATTCGTTTGCAGACAACTCTTTATCCTACCTAGCTAAGTGACATACATTTGAAGGTTAATGACAATGAGTTCGGCAGACCCTGCCTGGGGAGTATATTTAGGCTGGGCAGAGGCCAAGATCTGGAAAGCTCTGGCAGAGAGGCAAGGCCTTGGAGGGATGAAGGGGGAATAGACGGACGGTGGTGAAGGCCTGGGTGGACTGGGCCTCACAGGCTGGGGTCTGACTCAGCTTGTTCAGGCAGGTTGACATGCGTTCTTGTCTCCTCCATGCAGCCTATGCTGTGGCTTAGGAATCAGAGATCTGGCATCAGGGACTAACCACCCGGCTGTTTGGTGCTTCCAGGGGCATATGACTTTGCCATCCAGAAAGATCATGCAAATTGGATAAAACACGACACAGATTTTAGATATAAAAATCATGGTATTAACTGGAACATTTGACCGGTGCAGTCGGGGTGCTGACAAGCCCTTCGGCTCACCAAACCTGCACAGCGAGCACTTTGCTTGAACCCCCCGCATTTGCTCTCTTAACACCTCACTTTAAATTCTTTCGTGCCTATGGCATTATATCGTCCACAAAAGCATTGAGAATGTGACTGTCTGCGTGATTGCCGGCCAAACTGCTCTGATCTAGTTACAGAATAGCCCTTCCAGAAAGCCAAGGTTCACCCTCATTTATTCACCAGAGACATGCAAGTTTTATGGCAGTAGGTGCTGAGGTTCGTGTGACTGTAAACAGAGTTTCCAAATCATGCGTCCCACGTGGCTTTTGCCCCTTTCCGCCTCACTGACTTCAAACAAAAATGTGTTATGTTGTGTCTAGAAAAAGAATAAAGCAACACTTACTTCCGCCATCACTTACTTCCGCCATCATCTGGTGCTCTGTCAGAAGTCTGGTCTGTGATGAGAGTTACTGGCCCTTTCCGAATCAAGGGGAATTTATGAGGTATTTCCTATGTATGCTGGGACCCCTAACACTTACCCCCTTTACCCTCTGAAGTAGATATTATCCTCTCCATGTCGCAGAAGAGGGAATGGAGCCTCGGCGAGCTTACCTACCCTTGCCCAAGGTCACCCACATCATTTTAGTTCTCAAGACAATGCCCTTGATCATGACACTATCAGTGAGAAAAGCTACCCTTCCAATTGACAAGGTCCTATGGTGATGTCTAACTTGCTTTATCTAGGTGGGTAATGTTGACCTGCAGATCCTTTTCCAAGTATCTTCACACTCCTGTGATCTTGTCACAAGGAAACTGCGATGGTGGAAGGTTTGTATAATATTGAGCATGCAGCAGCTAGATCAATGTCTTCCAATGTTTCATGGATTTTGCATATTATCAAGTTCTGTCCTCACCTGTGGGCTATCCAGATATTACTGAAACAGACAGAGGAGAAGTTTGGAGTAGGGACAGACCAGCAAAAAGAAGGTTGCATTGTTATTCTTAACAATAGCTAATATTTTTGTGCTTTACAGTTTAGGCTCTAACGTGATGTACACCAGTACCTAAAGTGTATGGGACATGCCATCGTGTATTTATCCCATTTAACAGATAAAATATTGAGGTTCAGACATATGTGACCTAGGGACACAGGAGCAGTGAGACCAGATTCCTACACTGAAGGAATGTGTCCCATCTCGGTCAGTCAGGAGAACTAAATGTGGATTTGATTTGTCTACACTGTGAGTGTTGGTAATTAAAGAAAGTCAGATAAAAAACAAAACACCACAAAACTCTACCCAAATCCCTGTCCTCCCCAACCCTCCTGAAATTATCAGAGGACTCTCCAAGTCCCTGACACACGGTCTGAGAAACGATGTCCAAGGCAAAGTGTGATTCCTTAGTGTGATATGTGTACAAAAGAATCAGAAAAATACTTAAAATCTTTGCATATATGCATGCATCCCTTGAAACCATCTAGAAACTGGCACAACAGACTTTCGAATGATAATCAAATTATAAAGTAAATGGCTTACTTTCATGTTTGTGACTAAAGCCTACCGGTTAGGTTCATAATTTAAAAATGTATTTTATTAGAAATCAGTTGGAAAAATTTATCATCGGAAGGAGGTATTTGTTCGCCTATATTTTTGCCCAACTCAGTTTCTCCAGATTAAAACAGAAACGGTAACAAACAACATAGTCATACTCGCTACGACAGCAACAGACATAAGTGGCAAGGCAAGACTCCTAAAACGAATCATGTCAAAAAAACCAAAAAACAAAAAACGAATCATGTCTAGGGTGCTGGTCGGCGATGTTTTGGAAGAGAAGAGGTCTCACAGGAACCCGGATATTGGTAGTTATCCATGTCCCTCTGCTGGGAAACCCACTGGCTTTGGTGACAGCTTATGGTGTCACAGATAAAACCCTAAAGACCCTGGCCTGCTACTTGAGGGTGGTCTGAGTTTTTACAAAATTACCTTCGCAGACTCCATTGCTGCTCCTTCTCCAGCCATAGCAGCAGGCCATTTTGGTTCCATAGCGACAGACTCCAGGCTGGAGTGCTGGTGCCGACAACCCGTGATCGCTTGGACTGTGGATAAAGAGCCACATGTCAGAGCTGAGAAAACAGAAAGGGAAACAGAGACCCTTCCCCGCTACTAAATGAGCAGCAGAGATGACATTACTTGGTTCATTTCAACAAACCTGCCGTAAATACTAAATTCGATTTTGAAAATCTGAATTCTGGGTGGCCAGTCTGTGCTCCCATTTCATGCCAGCCTTTTCCAATAATTAGTGTCATCTATTTCCTTCTTCCCCCAGTGTTAAAAGAATCGGGTTATAGAACCTATAAAATAAACGCACATGAAAGTGGCCAAAACTTTACGTTTCTGAACCTCGTAGAGCACCAGTTTTGAAGTGTGCTCTGTACAGACACTGAGGCCATTCCAGGTCTGTGTCTGTTCCAGTGCTGAGTGTGGTAATGTGACTCCCTGGCCCTGTGGCTTTGTCCCCGACAAGAGCATTACACTTTCATCCCAGTGGCCACCTGGGAACCAGTGAACGAACTATAGACAGGCAAGAGCTGAAAGGGGTCTAGACATCCTTCGATGAAGCCCTCCCATGCTACAGATGAGGAAGCTCCAGTTCAATGAAGAGGAGCCCACCCCTTTCCCCGCAGAGCTGGTGATGGGGACTCCAGCCCAGGGCACCTTCTCATTCCTCACTGCCTCCTAGAATCACAATTTGCTGAACTCTCTAACTGTGGAGCCGGAGTTGGCAAACTTTTTCCATAAAGAGTCAAGTGGTAAATATTTTATGCTTTGTAGGCCATACAGTCTCTGTCCATTTGCAAAAGCAGCCGCAGGCAATAGTAGCTGACGGGCGTGGCTGTGTTCAAGAACACCCTTTTTATAGAGACCGAAATTTGAACTGAATATACTTTTCATGCGTCATGTGATGCTATTCTTCTTTTGATTTAGTTTAAACCATTTACGAAGGTAGAAAGCATTCTTAGCTCATGAGCCCTGTGAAAACAGAGGCCCACCCAGCCTTGGCCTGTGGACTGTATGTAGCTTGCTCACTCCAATCTCCAGCCCTGCCACCAAGTGCCCCTGACTATGCTGGGCCATGGGTGAAGCTTGTGACATGATTACCAACTTACCAGCCAAGTACGGGACATAGCTGCTACCAGATTCTGGAGGAAAAGACTTGAGTTGTATATTCTATGGAGGGCTGGGGTTGTGTCCACACGCATATTAAACACACTGTAAAATGTTTCCATATTAAATACACCGTAAAATGTTTCCTGGGCTCTTTGACAGACAAGGAATGCACATTTTACCACGTGCTTTCTGCTGCGGGACTGAAGTTTGTGCAAGTTAATAACATCTTAGTCAAGGTTGAGAGGTTAAACAGCATGGCAGTTTTCCCTCGTGGTCTGCCCCTCCCGCCAACTTGGTTATTCAGTTATGAACATCAAAGACATGGTCCATCACATTTCATTAACTGAGAACACCAAATATGAGGATGAGTTTATTTACTTTTTCTTGAAAGGGACATTCTTTCATCCTCTAAGGGAATTAATTTTGGGGATTTATAAGTTATTCACTCAACCTCTGATTGGATTTTTGAATCTCTACAACCACTACATCAGGAGTCTCCAATCCCCGGGCCGCAGACCGGTACCAACCATGTTCTGTCAGGAACCTGGCCACACAGCAGGAGGTGAGCAGCAGGCAAGAGAGCGAAGCTTCATCTGTATTTGCAAGTGCTCCCCAGCGCTAGCATCACCGCCTCAGCCCCACCTCAGATCATCAGGCATTAGATTCTCATAGGCGCACCAATCTCTGTGCCAAAAAGGTTGTGGACCGTTGCTCTACATGACTGACATTTTTACCAGATAAATCTTTGTTGTTAGAGGCTTTCCTGTGCATTGTAGGATACTTAGCAGCATCACTGGGTTGTACCTATAGACGCCAGTAGCACCCACCCTTCCAGTTGTATCAGCCAAAAATGTCTTTAGACATTGCCAAATGTTCCCTGGGGGGCAAAACCGTCACCTGTTAAGTACCACTGTATTACAGTGAAACATGGATCAAGCGCTTGCTATATATTCCATACAGTGATGAAAATGACACAATCTTTGCTCTCTTATGTTCACAGTGTACTGTCAACAGATACATTACAGCATAGGACAGCACAGTAAGTAGCATCACGATGGTCTCAGAAAGAGTTGTGACTGAGAAATAATACAGCCATCTGTCTTAATCTAATGTGGTCTTTACTAACAATTCTATGAGGAATACCATATTCTTGAGTCAGTCTGCACATAACTAATAATGCCCAAACAAGAAACCACAGATATTGAACATGAAGTACGTTGAGTAAATAAGTGCAAGTCCAAACACAACGATATACTCAAGAATCATTCTTTAGCATTTTAAACATTGAGGTATAATTCACATAACAGAAAATGTACCATTTAAAAGTGTACACTTCTGTGGGTTTTAGTATATTCACCGTATTATGCAACCATCATCACTATCTAATTCCAAAACATTTCCATCACTCCAAAGAGAAACCTCATATTTGGTAGTGGTTAGTCCGCTTCTCCTCTCCCGCCTGGCTACCACGAATCTACTTTTTGTCTCCGCATTTGCCTATTCCGACATTTTGCATAGATGCAATCTTACACTGCGTGGTCCTTTTGTGTCTGGCTTCTTTCACTGAGCATGTTTCTAAGGTCGATGCACACCGTGGCATTCATCACTACTTCCTTTCTATTGCTGAGTCATATTCCATTCTGTGGACAGACTACATTTTGTTTATCCATTTATCAGTTGATGGACATTTGATCGTTTCCACTTTTTGGCTATTATGAATGCTGCTGCTACGAACCACTGTGTACAAGTTTTTGTGTGGACATATGCTTCTATTTCTCTTGGGTTATAGGAGTAGAACTGCTGGGTCATATGATAACTATACGTTTAACTTTTTGAAGAACTGCCAAACTGTTTTCCAAGATGGCGACATCATTTTACATTCCCACCGGAAATGTATGAAGGTTCCAATTTCTCTACATTCTTATCGGCGGTTGTTATTGTCAATTTTTTAATTATAGCCATTCTAGTGGGTGAGAAGTGGTATCTCGCTGTGGTTCTGATTTGCATTTCCCTATTGGCTAAGGATGTTGAGCATCTTTTCATGTGTTTATTGCCTGTTTGTAGGCCTTCTTTGGAGAAAGGTCTATTTAGGTCCTCAGCCCATTTTTAATTGGGCTATTTGTCTTGCTGTCCTTCAGATTCGAACGCAAAGATTGAAATTAGTAAAAACAGCTCTCCCTACACCTTGGTGAATAAGGTAATGTAATTTTATCTCATGTTGCAAAAATCTCTCCCACCTAGCGAGCCTGTTTCCTGACCATACATGCCTGTCATAAACCTCGATGACGTGCCCACATGCGTTTCCTCTTCCTTTAACAACACAGAGCTGATGTTTGGGGAGCAGAGTGGTGGGAGGAACTAAGTTTGCCTGGGAAAGCGGATGAAGGTGTCACAGGGGAGGTGACATATGAGTTGCATTTAAAAAGAAACCATGATAAACAGGAAAGCTATGGGAGAAATTCTGCTATGAGACTTTAATTCCACATTTTTATAAGGGATGTGGGATTCATTTAATTAATTTCAACCTATCAACAAAACCTTGGAGATGACCTGCCGACTTCTCGGCTGCAGGTTTGCAAGCAGTACGCTCACCAACTGCAGTAAGAAGGATCTTACCTATTTCCTGATGCCAAAAAACCCCCGCTTAATCCTCAGTAGGGCGTGGATATATGGAGCACTGTGCTAGGTACTGGGGATACAAAGATAAACATGGCAGTCAGAGTCCCTGGTAATGAGCTTTTAGACAAGAAAGTGAGGGTAAGAGATGCACTAAACATATTCAGTTGGCTATAGAAGCTTAAAGCAAAGAAACATAATCTCTTCAAAGGGATCCAGATGTTCTCTCTGAGGGTGTAAACTTTAAATGAGACTGAAGATGAATAGGGGTCAACCACATAGAATGAAGGACAGAATATTACAGGCAGAGGTAACAGAATGAGTGCAGGCTAACAGGTAAGAGACACCATGCTTATGCTTAGGGAACAGATAGAAGACTAGAGGATTGAACAAAGGGAGGGAGATGAGCCTCAAAAGGTGGGCAGAGGCTACATCATGGAGGGTCTTGTGAGTCAAGTTAGAGCTATGGGACCTCATATCCTAATTGCAATAGGACAGCACCAAAGGGTTTTAAGAGGGAGGTTATTTGAGAAGATTTCTCTTTAGAAAAATATTATCATGGCAGAAGTCTGGAAAATGGACTGGAGGGAGGCAGAATGAAAGCAGTTGGCTCAGAAGAAAGATTCTGGTGGCTTGGATTGGAGCAGTAGCAGTGGAGGTAGGGAGAAATGGATGGAATCGAGGTAGATCCAAAAGACTTGGTAATGAATTAGTGTCATTCATTCATTTGACAAGCATTTATTGAGTATCTGCAATGTATCAGGA